GATGATGATAATGATGACAATTATAGTGATAACGATAATGTTAATAATGATGATTATAATCAAGGTTATATTTATCATTATTATTGTCATAATTATCGTTGTTATTGGTGTTTTATTATTACCATCACTGTCATCAGCATCACCTTTAAAATGACATTTATTTTCCTTATCGCACCACTACTTTTCATTTTTCTCTTTATATCTCTCTCTCTCTCTCTCTCTCTCTCTCTCTCTCTCTCTCTCTCTCTCTCTCTCTCTCTCTCTCTCTCTCTCTCTCTCTCTCTCTCTCTCTCTCTCTCTCCACCCCCTCCCATCCTCTTCTTCCTTCTTTTCGGTTTCCTCTTACTCCTGCTACTACTACTGCTGTCAACTACTAGCATAAGCATCCTTTTACCTCTTCCTTCCCTGCCTTCTCTTCCTGCTCGTCGTCGTCGTCCTCCCTTCTTCTTCTTCTTCCCCGCCTCCTCCGCCTCTTCATTTCATACTATTCCTCCTTTCCCTTCCCCTCCTCTTCTTCCTCCGTCCTCTTTCCCTCCTCTTCCCTCTCCTCTTCCTCGTCGTCACCATCCTCCTCCTCTTCCTCGTCGTCGTCACCGTCCTCCTCCTCTTCCTCGTCGTCGTCACCGTCCTCCAGTTCCTCCTCCTCCTCCTCCTCGCCGTCCCGCATCTCGGGGTGAGCGGCCGCGCCCCTTGTTAGATATTGATCACGCGGCGAAGGTAGCACACAGGGCGCGTGTTGGCCATGCTGTTGCTGCTGTTGCCGCGCCGGTACTGTTGTTGCTGTTGCTGCGCCGGCATTCCTGTTATTGCTGCTGCTGCGGTTATTCTGGTGGTGCAGCGGTGCTGTTATTGCTGCTGTTGGCGTTATTCTGTTGGTGCAGCGGTAACGCTATTGTTGATTCGCTGGCGATGCCCTGGTACTTCTGTAGCGTCACTGCTGTTACTACCATTGTAGCTGTTGCGGTTACTGTTGCAGTTGCACGCGCTTGTTCTGCTGTTCGTGCGATGTTCTGTTGTCGCAGCTTCTGGTACGGCTGTGGCTTCAAACGGGTGTCTTAATAGTGCGATCTTCATCGGTTTCACTCGTGAGGTTGCCTCGCGTTTTCTGTCTTTTCCTTTTCTTTCTTGTCCTTTTGCTTCTGTCTTATTGTTTTCATCTAACTATCGCTATTTCGTATTTTTTTCTTACTACATCTTTCTTCTGATACTATTATCATCATCTTGTTACTACCACTCCCGCTACTGTATTGTTACTATTACTACTACTACTACTGTTGCTACAGCATTATCATTAAAATCCTTTTATTCTTATTTTTCTTCATGGTTTTCTCCTCTTCCTCCTCATTTCTCTTTTATCTTTACTAATGTTTGTTAATGCTATCCCTCTTCCAATTCAATATTCAACAGAAGAAAAAGAGTTTAATATTCTTTTTTAAAAACTCGTATCCTCTTGAGTGATTTTGTGGTATGGTGAGTGTTTGGTGAGGTGACACGAGTGAAAGTATTGTGACTGATGTATGATGATTGTCATGGTGAGTAATATTATACTCTACTATATAGTATGATATGGTGAGATATGGTAGCTTGATGACTGATATGATTTGAAATGTTATGGTGAGGTGAGCAGCATCATGTTATAAGTGTGAGAGGTCAGTGTATGGTACAGGAAATAGAAAGAAAAGTGAAAGGTGATATACTCTTTTTCTTTATACACTTTGTCTTTTTATAGTTTATTTTCATATCTCATATTTCTACTTTCTTTTTTCCTTCCTTCGCCTTTCCCTTTATTCTTCATTTTTGTTCTTTTCGGTGTTTTTAATTATTTTTATTATTTTTACCTTCCCCTTGTCCTTTTATACAGCGTCGTTCACATATATTTATTTATTTATTGAAGCTTCTTTTCCGCCACCCTTCACTTTCTTTCGTTACTTTTTCATCATTTCCTCTTTTCCTCTATATGCTGTTTCATTTTTCGATCGTTTTTTTGTTTCGCGAATTTTATTATTTCCTTCTTTTACTCCGTTACCGCACTTGCCTTTTTTTTCTCTCTCTCATTCCCTCCTTCTCCCTTGTTCTAATCCCTCACCATCTCCCTTACTCAGCCGTAATGACCACAGCTCTTCCTCCTCCATCACCTCTCCTTGATGACCTAGCCTGGAGTATATGACCCCTTCTCCTCCCTTCCTTCCTCACAACATAGGTCTCTCTCCTTCCCTTCTTCCTCCTAGCCCCTGGTTTGTATCTATCTATCCTTCCTCGGGGCTCTGTTTCTCTCACTCCCTCTCTCCTGCTTTCTTAGACCCCTGTTTCCCTCTGTCCCTTACCTCCTCCCTCAGACCCACATTTCCCTCTCTCTTACTCTCACCTCCTCCTCCAGACCCCTTTTTTCCCCTCTCTCCTCTCTCAGGCCCCTACTTCCCTCCCTCCTTCCTCAGAGCTCTGTTCCTACCCTCCCTCCCTCCCTCTGATTGAAGAGGCTTGGGACCCTCCTCTCTTTCCTCCTCCTCTTGTCTGGATGGTTATTTGATTAGCTGTCTCTCGTTCTCGTTTACATACGCGAACATTTGGATGAAATTTCCCTTTTCCCTTGCAGTCTCTCTCTCTCTCTCTCTCTTTGTGTCTTGTCTCTTTCCCTCTTGTCTGCCTGCCATTGCTTTTCCTTTTCCTCCATTCTCCCGTTTCTTACCCAGTAAAACAGTTGAGAAAACTTTCCCGCCGCCGACGACATCGTCCTGTTTAAATCTCCGACATCTTTCCTCTTGTCAGCGAAGAGAAAATGAAAAGAATCTGATTTCTTTTTCCATTGCCGTTGTCAATGAGGGCGAGACAAATCACTCACGGAGGCCTCGCTGGGCAGGCCGCCAAGATCAGTTGCTTTTCCATTCCTTATTGGTGTTTACTGGTAAAAGGCGTCAGCCAATCACAGTGGTGCCCTGGTTTGAAGGACAGCCAATCACAGTTGCGCAGTTTCTGAACGGCTGCCAAACAACATCGCCCTTTTTGAACGACGGCCAGTCACAAAGGCCATTTTTAACAGGCACGGCAAGGCAGTAGTTGAACAACAGTTCAACCCAACACCTTCCACTTTTTAACGATTGCCAAACAAGTCAACCGGCCAAAGCAACGACCTTTCTTGAACGAAAGCTTATCACGCTTCGTGTTTTTCTCTTTTTTTCCCCGGCGATGATTGACTCTCTCTCACCTGGTCTCCTTTTGAAAGTTCGTCCAGTGTTGGTTGATGGCGTGTGTCGGTGGCCTGTTAACGAGGTTATTAGGTGATTTCCTGTCGTTATTTGCTCTTAGCGGGTCCATTGTCTCCACGGCCGAAGACTGTTTGTTCTGGCTCGATTCGCCACGTTGGTTTGGTAACCTGATTATTATTGTTTCTTGGCGTTGATTGATTTTGAAGTTGGAATGATACGGAAGGAATTTTTAATACAAGCAGATGAGATTTTTGTTGTTGTAATACGATTGCATTTGTTTTACAAAAGAATGTTATATAAATAAAGAAAAAAAATGATGACGGGATGATTTCATAATTTCATTATGTTTTTACATTAAGGATGACACAACAGGAAAGAAACTGAAACTGGAATATAAGCATCGGATTAAGTGAAGCATTGCTTGTAGTCGCACACGAAACAGTCATTACCATTACGACATCGCTTTCTCCAGGGAAGGGATAAGGTGAAGACATGGCCTCCGAGGCTGTGGCTATCCGCCTGTGATAGAGTGGAACGCCGTCTCCTTGCGTAATGGGGGTCCTATGGGGTGTTGCGTACATTGATTTCTCTCTCTCTCTCTCTCTCTCTCTCTCTCTCTCTCTCTCTCTCTCTCTCTCTCTCTCTCTCTCTCTCTCTCTCTCTCTCTCTCTCTCTCTCTCTCTCCTCTCTCTCTCTTCTCTTTCCCTTCCACTCTCCATCCCTTTCTCAGTTTTGTAAGTCTTCAACGATTTTTTTTCTGTTTTTCCTACATCTGGGAAATGATTAGGAAGATTCTAATGCTTTGGGTCTTTAATGTAATTAGAGATGAGATGGCATGGGTAGGTTTGGTAATCAGGGGTTGTAGCTAATGATTTCTATTGCGGGGAGCAGGCTAAGTGCTCAAAGTTGCTTCCTCATACGCCCATTACAGGGAGAAATTTGCCAACAAAAAGAGCATTTAGGCGTGCGGCAACCCCCCTCCTCTACCCCTATCCCACCCCCTTCGGTACGCCCTAGTTGGTAAAATGAATATAGATCTTAAAGGGGCCCTTGATTTTTCACTGTACTTCATGATAGATTATTCATTTCACTCTGGAAATCTACATATCCAAATAATATGTTATTTGTGTGTATATACATATTTCATAGATCTTTATCAAGTATTACATTACAGTGGACTAATCAAAATGTCAAGTGCTTCAAGATGTAACGATGTAACACAAGACTATCCAAAATGCGAATTACTTCCCGATGTAACACTATCCAAAATGTCAGTTACTTCCCGATGTAAAACTATCCAAAATGTCAGTTACTTCCCGACATGCAGGTGAACCACAGAAGCACTATCCAAAATGTCAGTTACTTCCCGACATACAAGAGGCTGATTTTCGAGACCAGAAAGCCGCGAACTTGAGGCAGCGACCTTGGCTTTCGAGAGCTTATTCCTGCCTCCATTTCGCAGGAGTTTGGGATAAGCTTGGATGGAACGTGGATGACAAGCGAGAAGTTCTGCGTTTGTAAGGCCAAGCGAATGGAAATAGTTTGTGACTGTTCTTTTTTCTATGGCAGTTATTGTTATGGAAGGATCTGTTTTTTTCAGATTTTTTATCATTATTATTATTTTATCCGGGAGTACAAGCGTAAAATACGATTTATTTACGCTTTTGCAACACAGGAAAAGAAATATTTAGAATATCTTTCAATACTTCTGTCCCACATTTCAAACCATAATTCTTATGCAATGCCATGACCCCATCTCGACCGAAGAAATTAATGTTTGCATTCCTTCTCCCTCAGGTGGCGTCGGCAGCGGTATGCAGGAGGGAGGAGAGGGCGAGACACGAGTCCGCGTTAGCCAGGTAAGCTACTGCGCATGCGTCGCCTCCCAGTGGGGTCTGTGTGCGTGTGTGATTGTAAAACGTTTTTTTCTCGTTTTTTTTTTTCTTTTATTTGATTAATTAATATATGCGCACATAGGTCTTAGCTATCTTTGGTTCGATAGCGATGATTTATTTGTATTTTTTTTTTCTACTTTTTCTTTACTAATCTCTTTCTACAGGTGTATCTAGTCTTTATATTTAAGGAGTGATTAATATTTCCCCCCCTCGAGATACACACACTGATAATTCTTTTTCTGATATCTGGTAATTATTAAGGGTGTTTATCAGGACATCGCTTTCGTGACATTGGTAAGTTGTTTGAAGAAACCTGTGCAATGGACAGTTTGATGAACTAGAAAGCTTGTGATAACATTTATGTGGTTTCGGTAAAAATAAACGGGTGGCAGCGTCTGTGCTTTTGTGTGTGTGTGTGTGTGTGTGTGTGGTGTGTGTGTGTGTGTGTGTGTGTGTGTGTGTGTGTGTGTGTGTGTGTGTTGTGTGTGTGTGTGTGTGTGTGTGTGTGTAGGGTTACATGCCGTATCACGTAATTGTTGCTTTTCACCCTTATTCATGCTTTTGACTATTCTCTCTCCCTCTCTCTCTCTCTCTCTCTTCTCTCTCTTCTCTCTCTCTCTCTCTCTTCTCTCTCTCTCTCTCTCTCTCTCTCCTCTCTCTCTCTCTCTCTCTCTCTCTCTCTCTCTCTCTCTCTCCCCTCCTCCCTCCTCCCTTTCCTTCCCCTCCCCCCCTCTCTCCTTCTCTCCTTCTCTCTCTCTCTCTTCTCTCTCTCTCTCTCTCTCTCTCTCTCTCTCTCTCTCTCTCTCTCCTCTCTCTCTCTCTCTCTCTCTCTCTCTCTCTCTCTCTTCTCCTCTCTCTCTCTCTCTCTCCTCTCTCCTTCTCATCTCTCTCCTCTCTCTCTTCTCTTCTCTCTCTTCTTCTTCTCTCGTTCTCTCGTTCTCTCGTTCTCTCGTTCTCTCGTTTCATCTCTCGTTCTTCTCGTTTCTCCTTCCATCTCTTTTCCTCTCCCTTCTTCCCCCTTCCCCCCTCTGCCGTCGCAAGGCTGCTTTGACTTTTTTAAATCTCCCCCTCCTTTGATCCTCTTTCATACTCTCTTCATCTCTCCTCTTTACCCTTGTGAAGATAAGCAGAAGAAAGGGGAAGAGGGGAAAGAGGAGAAGGGAGAGACAGAGAGAGAGAGAGAGAGAGAGAGAGAGAGAGAGAGAGAGAAGACGAGAGAGAGAGAGAAAGGAGGAGGAGAGAAGAGAGAGAGAGAGAGGAGAGAGAGAGAGAGAGAGAAATATATAGCGAAAACGCCAGATAAGAGAACAGAGTGATAGGAGAACGAGACGAAAAAAGAGCGAGAGGCCTTACGTGCCCATCTATGCCTAGGCATGGCCGTGCGTGCGCGTGCGTGTGCGTGCGTGTGCGTGTATGCGTTCAACAGATCTGTGTCATCCGCTCCGTGTGTTGCGGTGACTGAAGGCCTTTCTCGTGGTCGTGTAGGGGCATGATGTAACGCAGTTGTGGTCGTATCGGACGGGTGAAAGAAGGGAGGTAGGGGTGTGTGTATGGTCGTTGGTGGTGGGTGCGTGAAGGTCGTAGTGTGGATGTTGTGGTAAGGTTTTTTTTTTCTCGTATTTTTTTCGTGTGTGTAACTGTGTGGGTGATTTATTGGGCTGGTGTGTTAATTGCTCCGTGTGGCCGTTGCGGCGATTATAGCTAATGGCGGCGGCGAGAGTCGTAAAATAAGGAGATAAAAGGAATCAGAAGGACGTGGAAAATAAAGTGGGAGGGTGAAAGAATGAAAGGGAAGAGGGGAAAATGTAAGGAAGGGGGAGGGAAAAGAAAGAAGGTGCAAGAAAGAAGGCAGACAGAGAAAGAGAAGGAAGAGAGAGAGAAATAGAGAAAGAAGAAAAGCGAAGAAAGGAGAGGGGGAGGAGGGCGAGATCAAGGGCAAAGAGCCAAAGAGCGCGAAGCGAGAGAGAAGAACAAAACGAAGGCGGGAGAGAGAAAAAACTACATTAAGGCCGTTGTTTGCTCCTTCCGTACGTCGAAGGAGGAGCAAAAAGAAAGCTCAGGAATATAGGATTTACGAGGCCCAAATCCCCTCCATTACGCGTCTGTTTTGAAGCCTCGGCTGAGCTTCCGCCGAGTCGTCGTCTGGTTTTCTCTTGTTATTCTTTCTATTTCTTTTTCCTTACTCCTCTCCTCTCTCTCTCTCTCTCTCTCTCTCTCTCTCTCTCTCTCTCTCTCTCTCTCTCTCTCTCTCTCTCTCTCTCTCTCTCCCTCACTCTCTCTCTCTCTCCTCCTCTCTCTCTCTCCTCTCTCTTCTCTCTCTCTCTCTCTCTTTCTCTCTCTCTCCTTCTCTCTCTTCCCCCGCCTTCACACACTCCTTCCGACTTTGCCTGAAGCTGAAGACGTCAGCCAATCAGGAGACAGTCGATTGATCCGCCAATCAGGAAGCAGACACATAACCGGAGCCTCTCGGAATATGCTGCTTATTAATTTCCGGAGATTTGATTGGTTCATTAATTCTTCGCCGCGGTCCTTGTTTGGGGAAGAAAATTAAGACCTGAAAAACATACAAGGAGATTGATAATTTTTTTTTAAGTAATGATGATGATAATCTGAAATGCGTTTTGGAGCATTCGATATGAATCCCTGCATATTTACGAGCCCGCTGTTGCCAGGCTAATGAAAATGATTGCGAGATAGAAAGTTAAAAAACAGGCTTGGGGGTAGATTGATAATCATTTCCTCGGGTTTTCGGGGGAAAAAAGCGCTAGAGGAGAGGAAAAGGAGGAAGCCTGGCACCGAATTACGCGCCGTTTCGAGGTCAAGGGAGTAAAATACTAAGGAAGGAGGAGGTAATTCATGAGAAATTCAAAGCGGGGAGTTTAACATGAGCAAACAAGGAGGTGGATGAAAAATCATACTAAATGAATCTACCGGGAAGAGAGAGAAGAAAGGGGAGAAGAGAAGAGAGAAGAGAGAGAGAGAGAGAGAGAGAGAGAGAGAGAGAGAGAGAGAGAGAGAGAGAGAGAGAGAGAGAGAGAGAGAGAGGGAGACGGGGGAGGGGGGATGAAAGAATAATTGATGGAGCCGGGGGGAAAATGAAGGAAGAAAAATTGAAAGAGACTGGGGGGGAAAAAGTTCAAGAAGAAAAATTTATCGAGAATGATAAACACGCTTTCCCGCCCTGACACAGACAGGCATGGCAGTTACCCAATGTTCGTATTCTCATCATGAAGTTTTGCTCATGCTTCTAGAACAATCATTCTGACTCATGATTACACGTATACACGTTAACATTTTTATAACATTTCTTTATAAGTGATTCCTCCGAGCAAAAAAAGAAAATGGAAATTAAAAAATCCTTTCTCTCCATTGACAAAACGAGAGCCCGACCCGGATCTAAAAATAAACATTCTTCTCTGCACGCTCGCCTAATTCCAGGTCTTTTAAACGAGATTTTTGAAATCCAAATGACGTGACTGCAGATATATTTGCATTACAACGTTTGTTATTAGTATTGCGAATTTGTGACGCTTGACACTCGTTCTTTTTTGGATTTTGGATCTAAAGCGCGTGATTTTGCTTTTGGTATTTTGTATATCATTGTCTTCACGCTCTGGATGTTTAGGGGAAAATACAGCGCTGGGATGACATTGGTGCCAAGTGCAGTTAATTGGCATTCTTTTTTTTTATGTAGTGAAAATACCTTTAAATTTTTTAGAGAGAATGAAAGAGAGGTAGCGACAGAGACAGATCTGTCTGACTGACTAACTGCCTGACAAACACAGACAGACAGAGAAAGATAGGAGAATGAAGCAGGACAACAGAGAGAGAGATAGAAGAAGGGGGGGCTCTCTGCCTGTCTCAATATCGTCTTCTGGTTTTCCGTTGGTTTTGGGCTTTTTGCTGATGAATTGCTGACTCCGCGTGCTGAAATTTCATTACGTATTCGGTTCGGATTCCACTCCCTCCCACTCTCCTCCTCCTCCTCCTCCCTCCCTCCTTCGTTTTCTCTTCGGGGTCCTTCCTCCCCTTCCCCCTCTCTCCTCCTTCCCTAGCCTCCCCCACTCCTTCTCCATCTCCTTCTCCTTCTCCCTGTCCAGTCCCTCTCCCTCTCCCTGTCCCAGTCCCTCTCCTCTCCCTCTCCCTCTCCCTCTCCCTCTCCTCTCCTTCCCCTTCCCCCCCCCCCTTCTCCATCTCCTCCCCTGCCTTCTTTCCTCTCCTTCCCTGCCCTCTCTCCCCTCCTTCCCTCCCCTTTCCTCTCCTCTCCCCCCCCATTCCCTTCCTCTCCTCCCCTCCCCTCCTTTTGTCTCAAAAATATAATTTTCTCATCCCTCCCCAAAGTCCGTTAATATGAAAGTTTCGTATCGTCTTGGTTTTAGCACAGAAGGAAATTGGGTCCGACGTCTCTGTCTGTTGTCTTAGCTTTTTATTTATGTTTTAGTTTTTTTAGTTTTCCATTTTTCTCTCTTTCGTATATTTTATTGCTGTCTCGTTCTCGGAAGAGAGAGAGAGAGAGAAGAGAGAGAGAGAGAGAGAGAGAGAGAGAGAGAGAGAGAGAGAGAGAGAGAGAGAGAGAGAGAGAAGAGAGAAGAAAGTGTAAGAATCTAAACCTTAAATGATTTCAGGAAAATACAAAATACAGCAGAAAATAATACGCAACCAGAATATAAATCCAAAGCCCGGCATCTAACGGTGCGAATGAATGAGTGAGAATAAAGGAAAATAATGAATGATGAATGCGTGAGTCAGTCAGTGAGTCAGTGAATGAATGGATGAATGAATGAGTGAATGCGTCAGTTAGTCAGTCAGTGAATGAATGAATGAATGAGTGAGTGAAGGCATGCGCAACCCTCTCTTCTCTTGTCGAAAATCGTGTCGACGTCGAGCGGACGGCGATGTCATTGGCCTGAACCTCATCGGCGTCTGAGTCAGCACCAGCGCGAGAGTGTGTGTGTGTGGGGGGG